CCAAGAAGAACTGAGGAAAAGTCTGCTCAGGTATTTCTGGAAAAGGTTCCTCTCCTGCCTTTTCTATCTGTACACAAGATACTGAGAATGAAACAGCTGGAACTGTGGCAGCCATCTTGTGACCTTGAGAACAGGAAAGGTGAAAAGCACCTGGATCTTGGATGAACCACTGAAAAAAAGAACCTTGAAGCAAAAATAGCCCAGACCTTTTGATAAGAGAGACACTAACTTCCTCATTGTTCCAGCCAGTAGATTTCAACTTTTCTGATGCTCAAGGCCTGGATACCCACTCCAGTCAAGGGCTCACTACAGATACATAAGCAAACCAGTATGGACGCTATGCAACAAGTCCTAGCCTGCCCTCCTTAGACCGATCTCAAGGTTGAGGTCCAGTAACTGTTCGATCTACATTTCATTAGTGGATTCTGCTCTCCCTCTCTGGTCACATGGGATCTATCCCCTCATACTTAGACGGTGATCTCAAGGTCGCTGACCGAGTCCTTTGCCATCTTCTGTCCCCGCCTCTGAGGATCAAGCTAAAAGCAAGGTACTTGCGCGTGGCCGGAGGGACCAGCGGCACAACTCTGCATTCCTAAATATTTGTTCTTTGAAATGTCTTTCTCAATTAGATCTCACCCAAATGTTTGAGAGTCAGGCTGAATTCCAACTTCCTGCTCCAGAACAGACAGGTTGCGCCTGCGTAATTAAGCCAGCCAGCTTTATTTGCTATAAAAACATGGATTTTTTTTTTTTTTTTTTTTTTTTTTTGCTCTTTCTCGACTGTAAACTAATCAATAAATAGAATCCTGATGAAAAATGCCAGCATTTAGGAGAACAACCCTTTTATGCTTCTTTTCTTTGGGGGCTAATTAACACATTGGGGATAAAATGTACTGTTAGATTCATCCGATCAGCTATGTTGAAACAAACTCTCTTGCTCCTGCTGAGACATAACTTTGGGTCAGAAATGCAGGCGAGACAGACAGACAGGCAGGCAGGCAGATGGTTTCAAAACATTTTGAAATGCGCCACAAACACACCTGTAAACTTGTGATGCAGGCTTCCTGCAGCCCCTCTGTTCACACCAGCTGTTCAGGTTTTTTCTTCTGTCCCCTAAGAACACACTGCCTGGTGTTTTGACCCATGCGGCCCACCTGGCCCCAGCGGCAGGGGAAGCCATCTCTAGCACTTCCTTAGTTTTAAAGGAAAAAGACACAGCTCTTTGGACAATGACCATCCACGCCATGAGGGGCCCTCGGAGCAGATGACACCTTTACAGTTATGTTACCACTGTAACAAACCCCCTGCTAAGCCTCAGGGCAAGGAGACCGCATCCAACATACGACCACGATGCCTATTTATTCCCTAATTATGTCGCAATATATTCTCTGTGTGTGTGTGCTGATGAAGATAAAATATTCTTTTAATTCTACGGCCACCTGGGGAGAGAGGAAGGGGGTCACACACAGGCAAGTCCTAGAATTCCTGCAGCTGAATTGCAGCCATTGTTCCAAGTCTCTCCCCTCTGCAAGGGACATAAGAAAAGCACACATTTTACCTTGTTTCACCACACTGGTTCTCAAAGTGTGGTCCCAGACTACCACCAGCAGCAGCAGCAGCAGCAGCAGCAGCAGCTGAAGACTCTTGAGAAATGCAGACCACCAGGCCCACTTTAGACCCCCTGAATCAGAAACTCTGAGGGTAGGTTCAGTAATCTGCTTTCACAGGCCCTGCACACTGACCTCTGAGCACCACGAGCCTACAAAATAGCCAGAGCATCACTTTAACGTCAGCCAGGTATCAGGAACACCTAAAATCTATAAGGGATGGGCTCCTCTTGCTGCAGTTCAGGGCTCCATTTATCCATCTGTACAATGGGGCTCTAGAACTACAGGGAAGCTTCAGATGCTGGAATTTACGAGGCACATGGTTACCGGGCACCTGTCTCTATGGATACCTTGCAAGATCACCGTTGCCAACACTCACCAGCTCCCTCCTGCCACACGCTAACTAGCAGAAGCTCTGCAGAGCAGTTCTCCAATGCCACAGCTAAGGTCATCAATGCAGCCTCGGTGGGTCACCCCTGGCAACCAGGAGCTGGGAGGTGGGGCTGGAAGCCCACAGGATCTCCAAAGCTCATCGCCAACAGCTTCCCATCTTTTCGCCTTGGAGCCCTGAGCCACTGGAGGGAAGCTGGCGGCTGTCACTGTCTTTGCTAGACTGTCCCACTTGGGCAGCTCTGCAGATACCCTCTGTGTGTTTGCCTCCACAGCAAGCCTGCGAAGGACAGAGCCTAGAACCAGCACCATGAGGCTGGGGACTCTGGAGGTCTGATTCATGGCTGTGTCCCCAGGGGCCACACAGGTGCCCATACGGAGCAGCAGCTCCAGCACAATCCTGAGACTCAGTCTTCCTAGTCCAGGCCCTGCTCATAAGGAAGTCCAAACACCTTCAATACCCAGGTGCTAAGTTATGGCTGGGAAGAGGCGCAGAAATGATCGAAACCCTGGGGGTCAAAGAGAAACAGAAAAAGATGCAAGAGCCAGCCAGTTTCCAGCTGGTACAACCCTGGGCTCACCAGGTGCCGACCTCCCCCTCTCCCGCATCCCCTCCCCATTTAGAACCAGAGGACCTGGGGGCTGGAATCTGAGCGTGAGTTCTCCTTGGCCTTGACCCTGATGCCCTCCACCCAACTGCTTAGCCAGTCTTCTAGCCTCCCTGCCTCCCTCTAGCACTCAAGCCCCAAGGCCACAGCCCTGCTCCTCCAATTGTAAACCACCCAAGGCTCAGGTCTTTCATCTGAAACCCCCTGCTCCCTCCCTGGCTACAGGAGCAGCCTGCAGGGGTCCGCACTTTGGGGTGAGCCAGGCTGTGGGCGTCACTTAGCCAGGATTCCAGCGCAGGTTCCGGCTAGGTGTGCGGCCAAGGGTCACGGGAAGGAGTCATCCTGCGGGATGCCGGGACAGAAAGCAATCCCCCGCCTACCTCACCCCTGCAGCCCTGCAGCTCGGCTCTGTGTGAGAAAGTGGTAAAGTCAGCGTGGAGTGCTGCGAAGGGCCCCGATCCGGGAGCCGGGAGACCTGGCTCGCCTTCCCTTCCTCCCTCGGCCAGCTCTGGGCCAGTCCTCCCACTTCCCCGGGGCCTCGGTCTGCGGATCCGTGGAATGGGAGGAGAAGCCTCTACTGCAGTTGTAGACTTCACATTTGTAGCGGCTTAAACAACAGTCGAGCAACGCAGAGCGCTGGTGCGCGGTGCCCACCAGGGGGAATCCGCCAAAGCAGCGCAGCGGGCGGCAGGTTCAATGCCCTGGGCACCCTGCCCAGGCTGCAGGGGCGAGGTCGCGGTGACCCTCTGCGCAAAGCCCTCGGCTTTTGGCCCCACCAAACCTACGCTAACCCTGGCAAGAGAATCTCCCGGACAGTGCTCCATCTGGAGGGTGACAGGCGGGGGGCCTCCCTCTGGGCTCGCTCGGGTTTCTGGCGTTTCTGGACTTGGGGAGCGCAGATAGGCGCCGGGGCAAGCTCGGGGAACCCCACCGGCCGTCGCGCGCCGCCACCTGGCCGGTACCTTAACCCGGTTTCCCGGGCAGCGCGCTGGAGCGGCGCTGACGCCCGGGCACGAGTCCCTTTGCCCGGACCCCAAAGCGTTCCCAAAGCAGGATAGCCCTGCTCTATCCGCTCCCAGAGAGGGCCTGAAACCGAGCCGCTCAGATTCTTCTCGAGAGCCTGACGGCCAGGGACGGAGTCTGCCAGCCTCGCTGAGCGGACCAGAGGGACGGACCGAGACGCGGCCGCCGCGGGATGGAGCCCGGGAGCCCAGGCCGGGAGCAGCGGGCTGCGCCGAGGCTCCGCGCCCGGGTCGCGACGGCGACGGCTCCGTCCCACGCGCGAACGTCCACGCCCCCGAGGCACGATTACTCCCCTTTTTAGGTCCCAGGTTTCTAACAAAGTAGGAAAATAAGCCAAGTCCTGGAGGAGGGCGACGGAGCGGGGCAGCTCCACGGAGCCCCAGCGACCACTCACCCCCGCCTCACCACGGCGCCCACGGTGGCAGGGCGACAAGTTGGGAACTTCGAGCCCACGATCCCGGAGCGCACGGGGAGTGACTCGCTTCTCTTTTAACTTTGGGAGCCGGGGTCGCCGGCGGGGGCGGGAGCGGCGCGCGAGGAACCACACGGGGCTGCCCTGCCGCCCGGATTCCCCCAATAAAAGGGGAACGCGCTCCGTGCGCGACTCCCCGAAGCGAAGCGCGCGTGGGTCGGCCGGGGATAGGCGGGGCGAGACGCACTCGGCCGCGCCTCGGACTCGCACGCGTCCGCGGGCACCCCGGGGCTCCGGCCGGGCGTCCCCAGGTTCCCGG